ACCTGGGTGGCTCACTTGGTTAAGTGTCTGCCTTCGGCTCAGGTCATGATGCCAGGGTCCTGGGATCAAGCCCCACATCAGGCTCCCTGCTCAGCAGGAGCTTGCTTCTCCCTCTCCTCCCTGCTTGTGATCTCTCTCGCTATCTCTGTCACTATCTCTCTCAAATAAAAAAATAAAATCTTTAAAAAAAACTTAAAAAAGAAAATTTACAATGTAATTTCCACTTACAAATAGTCTTCTAATAAAGTATAACATGCTGGAAATAAGGACGCTCTATATTCTTATGTCTGAGTCAGGTTTTTTTGGTTGTTTTTTCCCTTTGTGGGACCTTTTCTGGAATAACTAGTATACTAGTAGTAGACCTTCATCTTTCACTGTTTTCTTTTGTGGTGTTACCCTGCTTTTATAGCAATTCATTAATGAGCACTCACCATTTCTTCTGGCTGGTATCTCCTGTGCTCTCTTGTTCAATTCTTTGTGGTCTCCATTTTGTCACATGATAATATCAACAATACAACTTAGTGTTGCTGTTTTCAAGAATACTCTTCTACTCTGGGGCACCGGGGTGGCTCAGTCAGTTAAGCATCTGCCTTCGGCTCAGGTCATGATCCCAGGGTCCTGGGATCGAGCCCCACATCGGGCTCCCTGCTCAGTGGAGAGTCTGCTTCTCCCTCTCCCTCTGCCTGCCTCTCTGCCTACTTGTGCTATCTCTCTGTCAAATAAACAAATAAAATCTTAAAAAAAAAAAGAATACTCTTCTACTCAACCATAGGTACCAGACTTTGCTTGCCCCACAAATCTTGAATCCAATACTCCAGGCAGGCAGGCAGCAGGCAGTTATCTCGAATGGAGCTATAGACTGAATTGTGTCATCTACATTTCCTATGTTGCAGCCCTAATGTGTTGGTATTTGGAGATGGGACCTTTAGGAGATAATTAGGTTTAGATGAGGTCATGAGGGTAGGGCCTTCATGATGAGATTCATGTCCTTATAAAAGCTACCAGACAGTACTTGCTCTCCCCCCCAACCCCCCTTTCTGCCAGGTGAGAACACAGTGAGAAAGCAGCCAGGAAGAGACAAGTCAGGATAAACATTCTCACCGGAACCTGACCACGCTGGCACCATGATCTCGGACTTCCAGCCTCCAGACCTGTGAGAAAATACATTTTTGTTGTGTAAACCATGCAGTTTATGGTATTGTGTTATGGCAGCCAGGGGGTTTAAACATCATTAGTAACACTAAATTTTAATCAAAAATGCATACTATTACATCTTTTATCACAATTGGTATTATGCATAGTTCACTGGGTGACTAGAAAATCATTGAACTTAGTCACATTATTTCATAATTTAAAGCCCACAAATATTCCATTTTAGCAACATGAGTATGCCAGTTAGAACTTTCTCAGAACAGAAATTTGCATCCCAAGTTAACCTGCAAGTTAACAGCAAGAGTACCAACACTAGGGAAAAGAGGAAAACAGAGCTTCTTTCCTACTCGTGCTACTTATGGGCAAAGGGGACAGGAAAAACTAAGAACCAACAGCTTTCTGTTCAATCTGTCCCAATGGAAAACACAGAGTGAATGATTTACCTCTAAGACCCAATCTTTGAATCGATAGGTCTTGGGAATTTTGGATTTCACAAACTAGCAAAATTATTTTAAAAACTGGAAAAGGAAACTCCAGGTTTAGAGAACAATGGTGCTGTCTGATTCTAAATATCCCACAGCCTCCAAATGAAATGATAAATTCAACAAGGAGAGTAATTTAGACCTGAAGTGACTTCAACCTTCAGCATTACTAGGAGACAGAGAACACTGCAACCTTCAAATGACCTGTAAGTAGAGAACAATTCTAACAGACTCCTACTTCTGTCCTGCTGATGGCAAGCCTGTGAGTGAGGACAGCAATTAAGGGGAAGTTTAAGAGATTCTGTGGAATGGAGGAGAAAGAAACAGAGGCGTTAGGAACGGCAAAGGTAAAATCATCCCTAGAAAGAGAAAGTACAACATTTAATGACAAAATTCTGAACACAGGTGGGTGCTTGATAGATGGTTCACAACACTAGATGCACAGAAGTGGCAGGATTGGAAGTGGTAGCTTTGGTAAAGCATTGCATCTGGAGAAGAATGAGGTAGGAGAAGGAAACAAAATATTTAAAAAAAAATGAAGTATCTGATGGTAATAAAAAAAGAAACAAGGCACACTAGCTTTCTCTTTCTCCAACATCGACACAATTCATTTCTGCTACTGAAAATCCCACTCCCTCCAAAGAGGAAACCCAGAAGCTTAAGAAAACTATACCAGCACACCCGAACTAAATAAAATGTCAAGGAAGTGTATGGTATATGAAAAAACTAGACTGGAGCGCCTGGGTGGCTCAGTTGGTTAAGCGACTGCCTTCGGCTCAGGTCATGATCCCGGAGTCCTGGGATCGAGTCCCACATCGGGCTCCTGGCTCGGCGGGGAGCCTGCTTCTCCCTCTGACCCTAGCCCCTCTCATGCTGTTTCTCTCTCTCTCTCTCTCTCAAATAAATAAAATCTTTAAAAAAAAAAAAAAAACTTCAGTACTTCTTTAAAAAAAGAAAAGAAAAAGAAAAAACTAGGCTGAATTAGAAGTACAAGTACTATGAACAGAAATGTACAAAAATAGGGAGAAAGAGATAAAATGAGAGTTGGTTGAATGCAGAAACAGAAAAAAGCAAAATTATGCCAGATTAAATTATAAGGTACTCAAGGGAGAACAGCCTTAGATAAAAATTTAATAAAGTTATCTTGTAGAAAAACAGAGGAAAAAATGTAAATAAAAATTAAATAAGAAAGTAACAAAAAATCACAGAGAAAGCAGTTGAAATAGAAGTCAGGCAAAGAGCGCCCACCATATCTTTAACTGATGTCCCAGAAGGACAAAAACAATGCAATAGGATTAATGTTTAAAACTGGAATCCAAGAAAACTTTCCAGAAATAAAAGACCTCAATCTGTACATAGAAAGGGCACAACAGGAAAACTGACCTGGAATGATCAACTCTGATACATATCCTAATAAAACTATCAGACTCTAAAAATAAAAAATTCTCAGAGCTTCCAGACCAAAAAAAAAAAGAAGGTGAAATAAAGACAAGAGAATTAGACTGGTATCAGACTTCTCAAAACAAACAAACAAAAAACCCTAAAAAAACAAAACTCCAAACAACATAAAAGCGAGACAACAGTGAAGTGACATTTTCAAGAAACTTAAGAAAATATTAACTAAGGATATTATATACAACCAAGATATCCTTTAAGTACCAATAAAAGAAAAAGGTTGAACACAGAAAAAAATTCAGAGAATACTAGATGTGTGTAATATAAAAGCACCTACAGGATGAGCTTCATCCAACCAATAGATGGTTGAGAAAACCTAGGCAAAAGAATTCATTGGAAGCATTTCATATATTTATTTGTAGAATTTAGACCATTTTCTATGTTTTGATAAAGTAGAAAAATACAATTAAAAATGGGAAAGGGATGGGTTGCCTGAGTGGCTGTCAGTTAAGCGTCCGACTCTTGATGCCTTCATCTCAGGGTTGTGAGTTCAAACCCCACACTGGGCTCCACGCTGGGCATGGAGCCTACTTAGGGAAAGAAAAAGGGAAATGTAGAAAAAGAACAATGACTCTCATTTAGTAATAGGCCAAAGTTAAAGGATAGGATCCAGAACTGATACCCAGAGAGTAAAAGTTTAAGTGAGAGAAAAAAGGGGATTAAAAATCCTACAAAATATTAATATAAAGCCACAGCTAGAATAAAAATACAAACTTTCCTAAATACCAAAAGGATTTTTTTTCAAAAGCAAAGAGGGCACACCAAGTAGAAAAAGATACACAGTAATTATACCATAATACATGCAAAAACTGTAACAAATAACAGAATTAAGTCCAAACATTAACAGTCATATCAGTAAGTGTGAATGGGTTTAACTCAAGGCCAAAAGACAATTTCAAAAAGTATTACACTAAACAAAAAGAACACTTTATAATGTTAAAATCCACACTTCACACTTAGGATGTAACAGATATGAATATCTACACAACACATAACATAGCAATCACCTATATGAAACAAACACTACAAGGGATGCAAGGAGAAACAGAAACACTACTAAAAGAAACTTTACCACACAGGACAAGACAGGTCAAGTGAACAAAAAAAATGTAGGGATATACAAGAACTAAACGTAAGGTGAATTTTGGATATATATTAAATACAACCTAATAATAGAGAATATACAATCTTCTCAAGTATACATGAAACATTCATATGGATATGCAAAAATCTGATCATATATTAGGGCACAAAGAAAATATCAGCAGGTACTATAAAATTATTACAAATAATACTTGCCGATCACACTGCAATAAAAATAGAAATTAAAAATGCAACCAAAAAAGGTTCTTCCACTTAAAAATTAAAGATATTGCCATAAACAACTCCGGCAAAATAGCGAATAGAAACAAAAAATACAGATTTTCTGGGGTGCCTGGGTGGCTCAGTCATTAAGCGTCTGCCTTCAGCTCAGGTCATGGTCCCAGGGCCCTGGGATCGAGCCCCATACCGGGCTCCCTGCTTAGCGGGAAGTCTGCTTCTCCCTCTCCCACTCCCCCTGTTTGTGTTCCCTCTCTCGCTGTGTCTGTCAAATAAATAAATAAAATCTTAAAAAAGAAATTACAGAATTTCTGAAAAATAATAATAAGTACATCTGTAGGATTACATTCTAAGCAGTGATCAGAGAAAATTTCATAGCACTAAATACCTGTATCAATAAAAAATAAAAATTAGTTACATTCCCAACTGAAAGAGCTAGGGAAATATCAAGGTAAAACAAAACCCAAGGAAAAAATTAATAAATACAAGAGCAGAAATTAAAAAATTTTAAAAATCAACACTAAAGAGGGAGAGAACATAAAAACAGTTGGTCAAATTAATGCACAGAGTCCTGGAAAAATGAAAACAACATAGACAAAATATTTTCTAGTTTAATAAAGAAAATAAAGGGGAGAAAGTGCATATATACAGAACAAGAAATAACAAAGAGCTATTGATACAGAGAAAAAAATTTTAAACATGAAGGATGCCACTTCAAATGAAATATATCTGAAAACCTACAGAATACTTTCTTAGAAAAATATGGTTTAATAAACTGATTCCTGTAAAGATAGAAAGCTTACAAAAACAATCTGCATATGAGAAATACAGTTACCAAAGAATTACTCCACAAAAAAGCACCAAGCCCAGATGGTTTCATGGAGGAATTGTTAAATTTGTCTACATTAAAAAAAAAAAAAAAAAGTTTGCATGATTAAAAAAAAGCATGAGCAAATTCAAAATCATGAAAAAAGATATAAAAATGGTCCTTAAACATGAAAGATATTTAACTTCACTCATTGTGAGAGGAATGCAAATTAAAGCTATAATGAGATACCATTTCTCACCCATCAGATTAGCAAAAATTCAAAAGCTTGACAACATACTGAAGTTTTGGGGAAACAGAAAGTTTCATACATTCCTGGTGGAATGTGAATTACCACAACCTTTATGGAAAAGTACTGGCAATATGTAATAAAAGTACATATGCATATGTCTTTTCACTTAGTAATCCCACTTCTGGGAATCCACCCTGAAGGTATACTTCAAACATAAATATGTAAGATCATTTGTTGTAACATTATCTGTAATTTTGCAAAACACTGAACTACTTGAATGCCCAAGTATAGCAGATTGATTGTATAAACTATGTACGTCCACACAGTGGAATGCTAGGCCACAACAGAGAGAGAGGGAGGGAGGGAGGGAAGGAGAGGAGAGAGAGAAAGAGAAATCTCTATGAAAAATACAAGTGACTTCTGGAGATGCTAAGTGAAAAAAGCAAAATCCGTAAGAGCATTATGTGAAATAGCTAATAAGCACATGAAAAGATGCTCAACTTTGTCATTAGGGAAATGCAAATTTAAACCATGAACTACCACTTTGTATCTATAAGAACATCTATAATAAAAAGTCATTAACAAATGTTAGAGAGGATGTGGAGAAACAGGAACCCTCATATATTGCTGGTGGCAATGTAAAGTGGTACAGTCACTTGGAAAACAGTATGACAGTTTCTTAAAAAGTTAAATACAAATTAATCACACAACCCAACAATTCCACTCTTAGGTATTTACCCAAAAGAAATGAAAACCCATGGCAACAGAAAGACTTGCACATGAATGATCTTAGCAGCATTATGCATCAGGGCCAAAAAGGAAGCAACTCAATTGTCCATTGACTATTAAATGAATAAATAAAACAGGAATTCATATAATGGAATACTATTTAGCAATAAGAATACTGACAGAAATGCTGACATATGCAATGACATGGATGAACATAAAAACATACTAAGTAAAAGAAGCCAGACTCAAGAGATAATATTGTATGATTTCTATTTATATGAAATATCCAGGAAAGGAAAATCTATGGAGACAGAAAGTAACTAGTGGTTGCCTGGAACAGGGGAGGGGGCAGGGAGTGGTGGGAACCAGGCATGAGAAAGTTTACTGGAATGATGAACATGTTCTAAAACTGGATTTTGGTCAGGTTGCACAACTTTTTAAAATGAGTGAATTTTGTGAAATTATACCTCAATAAAGTTATTTTAAGGATATATATGTGAATTTTGTAATATGTACAATATGCACCAATGAGTTTATTTTTTTTAAGAAAGCAAGTTTATGGAGTGGCCAGCCCTCCCAGTTTGCCCGACTCTCCCAGTTTTAGCACTGAAAGTCCCATCCCGAGAAACTTACAGGCCTGGGCAAAAAGGTTCTCTCTCTATATGTATGCTACCTTTACTGTAAGAAAGGGGGGGGTGGAGATAAGAAAACACCTTCATTACGTTTCTTCATAAAGAAAAGAAACATGGGGGGCGGGGAACAGTGAAGTTGGATACCCAAGAAGGGGCTGGGGAATGCAGAAGGGATATGAGAGAGTAACACTTCTCAGTAAACCTTTGGTATAGTTATGATTTTTAGAAACATGTTAGCATTCCATGTATTTTTAAAAATTAAATCAACAAGGATGTGAAGTATGTGTGTAGGGGGGACCTTAAACTTGGAAAAAAACTGAAACAAATGAATCCAATTTATTTCAAATAAATAACATAATCACAGTGAGAGAAAAAAGAATTAACCCAAGTAATTTATGAACACAGAATGTAATTATATATCCTTATTATTGGGCAGAGTACAGGTAGGGAGAGAACTGCAAACAAGCTTTTAAGTGTTTTTTTACAGTGACATGGGCAAAAGCAATTCTAAGAACTATTTCAGATGTACTACAGGATGGACCAAGTGAATAAACTGACTTGTGCCAGAATTCTGAAAAAACAGAGACATAGAAATATGGAATGGGGAAGTCAAGACAAGACCCCTGAGGATGGATAGAAATTGGAGGTATTAGTGTGAACTCATGATTTCTGAAATCAAACACAATGTGTATATAAGCACATTAAAATGTACATGGCACATGCATATTTGTGTTTACGGTTGTACATGCACATTTCCTAATTCTGTCTGCTGAATAGGCCTAGAAGATGACACCCAGCAACCAGAGCTATGTGTCTAATGTCATTCCCCAGGGTTTCTTGGAGAAATTGCTGATTCCAGATTCTGGAACATCTTTTATTTAAGAGAATGTCCTAAAATAAATAAATAAATAAATAAGACTAAAACGATGTCACAGGGATATAGGAGCCAGATTGAAGGAGCTCCTACTGAGCAAATTTAAGACAATTTAAGCACCAAAGTAAGTAATGAATTATAAGCCACTGAAAAAACAGACAACCAAGAGTCCAAAACAATAGTAAATATAAAACCATACACGCATAGGTATAGATGAACGAATGGATGGCTGGGGGAGAAAGGGTTCCTGCTAACAGTAGAATGCTGAGTGCCAAATGGTAGACGAGGACGGAACGCTGGAGTTAGAAAAATCAGCATTTTGAAACTAGCAAAGACTGATAAGCAAAAATCACCAAAGGCTACTAAATTCTGGTTATAGCATGGACTTAAGAGAGTCTTCTTCAGATTATTAGACACAAGGTAAAAAAACAATAACTATATATTGGAGAAACTGAAAAACACCTTGCCCAGGTGACCAAAATTAACATCACCAATGAGGAGCAGATGGACACCTTGTGCCCCCAGCTGTGATGCTTTGATGACAGTATCACCGATGGAGTATTCTGAGAATGCATAACCTGAACCTAATGCAGAAGCCCCAAATGAGGGACATTCTATTGGGGAGGGGGAGGGGGACAAAAAGACTGCATTCTCCAAAAATGTCATATCAATGCCATAAAAGACAAAGGGGGACATGGAAATGATCCCAGAGTAGAGGGGATTTGAGGGCAAACGAACCACCAAATGATAAAAACAAAATGGTAAGGTTTAAACAATAGGGGAATCTGGGTAAAAGATGTACTGATGTTCTTTGTATTATTCTTAATTTTGCCAATTTTTGGTAAATTTTAAATCATTTCCATGTAGAAAGTTAAAAAAAAACAATTAGGAGGAACTGATACTGGGCTGTGAACCTCATGTTTTGCTAACAAGGCTATTAAACTGCAATCATTAAAAAAAAAAAAAACTACCACTGACCATTATGTCATTTTGTTTAAAAAAAGAAAAGTGTGAGGAGGGGCATTTTAAATATGCAAAACATAGTAGTCATACCCAAAAAAAGAATGGTCCTTTAAAATGCATAAATTCATATTTAAGAAAAAAAACTTATCACATTATCCTAATTTTTCTCATTTCCCTGTGGACAAGGGGAGCTTTGTCAGTTTGGTATTAGGGAATTAGTATTCTAAACAAGGTGTGTTTTCAGCAATGGATGAAGTACAGATCAGTGGAAAGAGCATGGAGGCAAACACTGAATTCAAATCCTGGTGCCAGAAGTTACCAGCTTTGTAGCCAGTTTCCTCACTTGCAAGACAGATAGTTTAATCATGGGACTGTTAAGAGAATTAAATTAATGTATCTAAAATAGCACTTGACACAGAGAAGGGTGCTCAACAAATCTCTCCTTTTTCTTTCTGTTCTCTGGAGATGAATCTGACTGGGGCCATATTAGCCTTTTCCTCATTGATCAAAACATGCCCCCCATTAGGATTATGTAAGAAACAGCATTATCCTGAGAACAAACCTTCCTTCTGAGTAAACTTTCCGATAAACTTCATGAAAACAGAAGCCAGAGATACTGGACAGTGAAATAGAAAGATAGATGGCTCATAAAAACAGATGACTTGGGGAATGGCTGGTTAACTGGTGAGTTCTGTTAAAGAGGTCAAGACAATTGGAGGGAAGATAGTATTAGTCTGTATTAGAAAAGTTTGCTGCTCAGAAAAAGATAAAACAGTGTATTTTTTCTTCATATATTCACAAGTCTATTTTGCAAACAACCATCTATTTCCAAGAATGAATAATTCATATAAAAAATAAACTGTATTAAAATCACCAATTCCATTTGTTTTACCAGCTGTGTATTTTGGAAAAAAAAAAAAAAATCAACTCAGCAAAATGTCCATAAATTATGAGATTTCACCCAATTGTCTATTGTTTTTTTTTTTTTTGCTTCTTTCCATATATTTCCTGTTCACATCTAATAGGACAATTTCCTTTTATACTGCCATTGACAGTAATTCCTTAAAAATCTGTTTTTAAAAATAAAGAAAAAAGTTTAAAAATAACTAAATTGCATTATAGCAAAGAAGTGTATATTGCCAAACAGAAATTTAGTTTAACATTTAAAATCTTTATAAAAGATAAACAAATCCTGATTTTCCCTTTATTTTATAATTGAAAAATGAAACCACTTAACATGATCACTTGATACATAATTTCCTTAAAACTTCTCTATGGTGAAACAAAGCTCTATATATTTAAAGAGTGTGTATAACAGTTATAACACTCATGACAATTTCAAACCAACTAGCACTGGTATAGCTTCAAATTACTATTAGTTGTGGCTATTTTTGGAAAAAAGGTACAAAGCTTATTAGGGCCCAGCATACCAGAAAACCTTAATTTTACATTGTCATAGAGTTGAAAAAGTGACATTAGAGTGTGAAGACACTATAAATTGCCATTTCTTTCTCATAAGTCTCTTAAAACAGGCTGCAAAAATATTCAGTACCTCATATATATTAACTAACAAAAATATTTCCATTGACTACCTTTTGCCCAGAGTGATTAAGGACCAAAAAATAGAATTCTTGTTGCTTTATTATCTGATAAACTGCTAGTAAGCTCCCGTTAGTTCTTTAGACATTACACCAAGTCATCTTGGTCTTCTGATCATATATATATATTCATATATATATATATATATGTATTTTTTCAAGTAAAGAAATGTTTAACAGATGTAAACTATTTATTGAATATTTGCCACCAAATATTGTTAAATACATTATCTTGCAGCATATCGCTTTCAAGTTAAAATGTCAAACAAACACCAATATTTACAATTCTTTTAAGGAATGTTATATAATGACACATTAAGGCGTAAATTCTTTTGGCTTATAATTCTTAAAAGAATGATAATAGCAAAAGTGATGCAAAATCTTCAGTGTGAGATTATGATTAAGCTACATTTTACAAAAATATGGTGTAAGATGGCAATAATCCCATTCAACATCCTGGATTAGATCCCTTCAGGAGGGACTGATAATTTATACAGTCAAACTTTAAAATTTACAGATAAAGGCAGTCCAATACTGCCACTGAGAAATACATCTCTTAACATATACAACTTTCAGGCCACAGTTTTGAAGGTCTGAAGTATCAAGTTGGTTTGATGAATTAGTCGGTTGGCACTTATGAACACATTTATTGCCCTGTTAAAAAAAAAAAAAAAAAGGCATTAATTTTATCAAAAAAAAAATCATCCTTTAAAAATATTTATACTTGATGCCATCCACTAACAGTAGCAATGAAATCAATTTAGGGAAAAAAAAAAGAGGCAAGTTAGTACTAAGGATCATGTTTTACACCAGCTTGGAATTGAATGGTCCTGCATCATTTGAAACTATCTAGGAATTACTGCCCCCTAGTGGTTCCAGCTGGCAATAAGGTGTTGGTGGGCTGCTAATGATAGGTGGCGCCTCAACAACCGGATTTCCTGAGGTTGAACAAGTAACTGGCCAAAGAGGATTCAAATGTAGTCTCCAGCTCTGGTTTCATATAAGTTACCAAAATAATATCTGTGCCAGTATTATACTCAGCCTCAAAATCTCTCCTTCAATGGACATATCTCTCTTACCTTCTTTCAAAAACAAACAAAAAACAAAACAAAAACTATGAGAATTCTAAACTACTTTTAGAATAAATCTATTAAAACAAAATAATCATGTGGTTTCAATATTTAAGAGCTGACAGTATATAAAAATTCTTAAAAATTACTTTGTGCTGCACACATTTCTCCTTATCAGCCCATCTTCATGTGACTGGAACAAAGAACTGATGCCCTAGTCCCACTGTGTGGTCTTATCAGTTTCTCAATATCATAGCTAAAACTTGTATCTTCATCCTAGACATTTCTCAAAAAAGAGGGACCAGAAATAATTAGTTGCATCAATGCAAATTCATACCCTTACTGGAAGATGGCTCAAAGAACAGGCTCTATTAACAGTTTTCAGTTTCAAGAAAACAGATACAAAACTAAAACCAAAAATAATGGCACATTATTCATATACAAATAAAGAAGCTACTGAATGAAGAAAAAGCAGGGAGCCTCAGTAATCCATATGAAGCGTACATAACTTCAGATTAATGAAAATTAGGCTCTAAAGGAATTTCTACCTTTCTATGTGCTTATTTCACAATAGTTCTTAATTAGAATCAGAAATAATGATCCCATCATGTAAATTATTCTTTTGATGTGTTTTGGTTATTTTGGCTTAGCAGTGGAGACCAAGAAAAAACAGATATAAGTTTATTTTCAGAACACACCTGTAAGCTTATTAAACTAAGTCATCAAGGAGCATTTCCCCTAGACTATCTGAACAGTAACAAAAATCATTAATAAAATGTACCTCAATATCTTTAATTCATAATATAAATGTAAAGAACTGTAAAGATTTCAACCTATTTGAACTGTTAAAAACAAATGAAAATTAACAGACCATTCTAATGTATTTTTATATTATAATAATATTGTAATGTTTGACATGGATATAGGGATCTTTAAACTTCAATGGTAGGATAAATGTTAGAGGTCCCTGCCAATGATACATGAAATAATCACTATTTAGATTGTTTTTCTGACCCTAAGCACTGTCAGAAAATGGTCTTGTTCACAAAATTTCTAGTATTCTACTTGAGATACAAAGAGCTCTCTATAAGGTACAATGCTACAGAAGACACGGCCCCTCCATCAGCTTATACAGTATATGTACATGTGTAAAATGTATATGTAAAAACACATAAATTTTTTGGTTTTCTGGAGTGTTCTATAGATAACTGTATGCCTAAACTTAAAAACAACATCCAATTTACCTTTTTAGTATACTACTTATCTTACAGAACAACAGTGAAAGCCTCCCTCCTTCCAGAATGGGTCACAACCTTTGTAGTACTTCTAAATCACCTGGAACACTTTTTATAAAAGACTTATTAAATCCTGGTCCCACTCCAAGCTACCTGAATCAGAACCCCTGAAGCTGGGACCAAAGCACTGGAATTTTAAAAAACTGAACCAAAGCGATTCTAATATGCAAATGGGATTGAGAACCATTGCTTTAACTTTCAGTTCTCAACAGACCTGGCAGTATCAGTATTATCTGAAAACTTCTTAGAAATGCAAATTCTTTGGGCACCTGGGTGGCTCTGTTGGTTGAGTATCCTGACTCTTGATTTTGGCTCAGGTCATGATCTCAGGGTCGTGAGATCCAGCCCCGAAATGAGTTCCACAGGCAGTTTGCGTGAGATTCCTTCCCTCTGCCCCTCCCCCAGTTCGCATGTTCTCTCTCCCTCTTTCAAATTAAAAAAAAGAGAAATGCAAATTCTTGGGTCCACCCTAGACCTATAGAATGGAGGGAGGGGAACTCCAAAAGCAATTACATTTACATGTATAAGCCCTCCAGGTGATTCTGATGATCCTAAAGTTTGAGAACCACAGCTTCAGGGGCTGGTGAAGTAGGCCAGTAAGCCAAATCTCACTTCCCAGGTTTCTGTACAGCCTGCAGGCTAAGAATACTTTCATATTTTTAAATGACCAAAAAAAAGGAGTATTATGTAACAGGTGAAAATAAAATAAAATTCAAATTTCAGTGTCTATAAATCAAGTTTTATTAGAACACGGCCATAATGCTACTTGTTTCCATACTATGACTGCTTTTGCACCACAACACCACAGCAGAGGTGAAGTAGGTAGTTCTGACAAGCCCACCTATAGGTGGACCCGAAATATTTGCCATGAGGCCTATTTCAGAAAAATTCTGCCAACTTCTGCTCTAGACTAGTTATGGCTAGATTATCAACCAACAGTCTATCTTAGTTACTAGCTAACTTGAGTATGAACAATATAGTAAAAGGGCTTAATTTATACGGTTTTAGTATTGTATAAAACCACATAATTTAATTTTTTTAAAAAAGGATAATAAATGACACTACTTACTTGCCATCTTTAAAATAGGTTTTCAGAGTATCACTGAAGCTTTTGGAGTACTTTACAAATTCTTTCTTTTGGTGTTCAAGTGCCTACAGACATCAAACAGAGTAAGAAAAAAATATTAAATAAGAAAAGAGAAATAACAGAAAAGCCAAAATCAAAGACAAGAGATTATATAGAATATAGGATGGACTTTATATATTACAAATTGGAATTTTTAGAAGTATTTACTTAAACATATTTTAATTCAAGGACAAAACCAGTGGTTAATGATACAAAACTATTTTCAATAATCAAACCATCTTAGTATTTAATTCAATAAAACTAAGTGTAAATCAACATCTAGGGTGGCAGCTCATATAAGGCTTCTACTAAACTTACCCTGCGGTTCTGGTACTGATACTTCTTGAAGACATTATTCACTGTATCAAGAAGTTCTTTTATTGCACTAGCTATATCCCTGTTGGATAAGGAAAAAAGAATCTTAAGATCAGTTATATTTGGAAGAGGGGTGTGTTATTTTATATATATATAGATAGATGTGGGTATATATATCTATAGATATATATATATAAATATATATCTATAGATATATATATATTTTTTAAGGATTACTAATCACACTGTAATTATCACATTAACACTGCATCAAGCCCAAACATCTGACTTGTTGGTTGGATGGATTTTAGCCTGTACCCTTTTATGATCCTGACTTCTCTTGCAGGCTGACCAAACGTTCTATAACTAATTTCAATCTTCCCAAATCAGTAACATTTCACTCAGCACTACTTACTCAAATGTATTATAAGAATTACCTCTGCTTCTCATCTTTTCCAGTTATGATTTTTCCTTCCTTTGATGAATTCAAGCTAGTATATTCTCTACATTTGCTATGTCATGAACAATTACATAAAATTTTACTATTACGTGTACCACACTTCTGTATTTATCAGCACTTCAAGTTACATACCTACATAGCTCTTCTAAGACACATCTACCTTCTAACAACTGCCTATACCCCTCTTCCAAAAACTTTGCTATCATTATTTCCTTTGGAAAATATATTTAAATTCCTGAGAGAGACAGTATCAGAATATTTTTCTACCTTAACCTTTCAGCAATTATCCTTGGACTATATATGCATCAACACCTTCCTCCCCTTTTAAGCAGATAAAGAGAAGAAATCAATAGTTCTCATGAGTTGACTGTTCTTCCTATCCATTAACCATTTTTTTTTCCTAAACTTTTCTTGTCTTTTCTATCTATGCTTTTTTCAACTTTCATCTTCTAACTGCATAACAATTTTTTTTTTGCCAAACTGAACTTAAACTTCTGCTGTGCAAATGCAATGCAAGTGTGAAGATATGAATTATTAGGACATAAATCTAAACCATCCCAAACATCTTTCATTACTTTTTAATCACAAATGTCAGATTTCAGCTATTTCATACCTAAAACATTTCAGCTTTACTAAAGAAAAAAAACACAAAAAGCTCTGTATCCAGATTATATGTGTGTGTTTCACAGCATTTTCCTAGTAAATAAGCATGTAGGATGTCTAAGAATTACAAGTATACAGTATTTGAGTACAAAAAAAGTACGTTAGCCTATTCGAAATAGTAGTGATATTTGTATTAAATACTTTAATAAATAATTACTTATTACCTCCTGTATGTCAAACACTGGTATTGGGCTGAAAATTAAAATATTAGATTCAAATAGGACAATGAATGAATACCTGGAAATGGTATCCGTCCACTCATTTTTTTTTTTTTCTCTTTTTGCCTCTAGTTTAGGAACAGCAGTTTTAACTTACATAACTGTTCCTTTCATTTATGGTTTCAAGTAAGTTGACTCCTGTATTGCTGTTATGTGCGTAAACCACTGCTTAATAAAATGTCATATGACCATGACATGAGAAAAATTACAATTTCAACAAATATTTGGAAGTTACTTCAAACCCACAATGAGCCCATTTAAAGCAGAACATAATGAAGCAAACTACAGTGATCAAACACGGAGGTGTTTATACACAACTACTTTGTAGAATACTTTAATATTCTGCTTTAAAAGGGGGAATTATAAAAATGTGCTTTCAGGGCTAATCGACAAGATGAACATATGCTCCATATACAATGATAATGGCTAGATTCCATAGGTCAAACGAGCAGTGAGTTCTCACTCACCTGTAAGGAAAAAAAAAAGGGTTTTCTGAAAGGTACCACAGACTTACTAATGAGTATTGGGAATCTGTACTTTAAAAGAAAACTTAAAAAATAAGCCCCCCAGGTGATTCTGCTGATGAACCAAATGTGGAAACCCGTGTTTGGAAACCTAGAGCCTAGAACTAAGGTTTGATCTATCACTAGCCACAGAACTTTATAAAGAACTCTATAGAATGACCCAGGCTGTTTATCCCCAGGCCTGGCCTTCTCTAAAAACAATCTGTGGCAATTTATATCAAATATTACATCATCTGTATGTACACAGAACGGTATTTTCATTTAAGGTGCTAGGGTTTGCACCAGGGAAGCTAAATTATATTAGTAACTAAGGGTTTGTTTCCTACAAGAGAAAATAATCAGCACTAAAAAATACTTCAGACAATTAAACAGATCAAGAATTAAAGAAAATAACTACAGTGTAATTACAAACAGTCTGGAATTAAGTGATTCTCTGACAAGGGACATATAGTAGGACAGAATTTTAGCAGTTTGCAGCTTTTAGTGAGGCATACACTTTGGGGAAACATACACTCAAAAGAGAAGACGACAGGCATCAGAGGAACTATAAACATACATCTTATAAAAAAATTGCAATAGTAGACTTTCTAATCATGTAACTCAAATTTATATAACATATTTATGTGAACATTCTAAAGGAAGAAAATTCCTATGCTGTGGGTTTAGTTAGGTCTAGACTGGACATCTCTGGAAAAGCTACTCTGCAGCCATCAGGAAAACCAAACTCTGGTGAATTTTAGCGCATGAATATGCAAATACATAGTAAACAGATAAATGCATGGCTTTCTGGTTTATTAAGTCACAAGTCTCTACTAGTCATCCGTTAGAATGTATCAGACCTAAAAAAAACCCTATGCAATTAAATTTATTAAATATTTGCATAAGCTTAAATGTAGTCAAACAGAAACATTCATTAATCAAAAGAACTTTTTTTTTTTTTTAAGATTTTATTTATTTATTTGACAGAGACCGCTAGAGAGGGAACACAAGCAGGGCGAGTGGGAGAGGGAGAAGCAGGCTTCCTGCGGAGCAGGGAGCCCGATGTGGGGCTCGATCCCAGGACCCTGAGATCATGACCTGAGCTGAAGGCAGCCGCTTAACGACTGAGCCACCCAGGCGCCCCTCAAAAGAACTTTTAAGATATTTATTTGCTGGATCATTTTTCCTAATCAACCCCACAGAGAAAAGTGGGGGAAAAATACCCTTATTTCACAAAGCTAGTATGTGCTGTGAGCACATACTGGGTTCTGTGTGAGCCACTTTATGTATGTTTGTGTATGTCCTTTCTCTCAATTCTTAAAACTGTTACCCTCATCTTTATAGGCAGAAACTAGAAAAACAGAAGCTAAGCAACTTATCCAAGGTCACACAGCTAAATGTGGAAATGGAAATTCAAACCTAGGTCTGCTAACATACACACAAATACCTGGATATTTGTTAGCTGATGGGAATCTTCCTTCTACTTAATATAACCTATGAAATCACATATAGTACTTGGATAGTAAGTATCTTATACATGTTTCTTGAAAATACTGCTAAAATAAATGAAGAAGATAATTACCTTAAGTATGAAAAAGTAAAATATTTTAAAGAAAAAACAGTAACTGCACAGTACGTTGTGCCTGAAGGATAAGCCATTTTTTATTTTGGTGCAATTTTATCCACTAATTTGTTAAACAACTAACTATGGAGACAATATGTATCAAAATGTGTGAGTATATATCTGTGATACAAATAATCACACCTCACCTATCTATGTTAATTTATACATGGTCTCATATATTATCAACAAACTTTCCAGGGCCAATTATACCTCCTAAAATGGTTAAGAAATAAATTTTAATTGCCAATACTCTTAATTCAGTTGTGCGGAGTACACTCCAGAAAACAGAACTGAAATATTACTACTGCCCCATAAATGAGAGAAAAGCCCTTAATTCAGCCTCTGTCAATGACTATGGATAAGATTCTTAGGCTCCTGACCTCAACTTCCCTATGATTAAAATGTGGCTGTTTATACAGTGTTTTTCAAATATATCTCTCTTAAAGCCACAATGGGTTTAGCAGAGATGCCTTGGGGACTCCCTCAAAGGGGTAAGATGGTGTCAAAGTAGCAGGATGAGGGCTCTGGGCCTACCACACCTACCCCAGCTTCAACCACAACATTCTTCTCTCTCTTACCTACTGGCATTCTATATTAAGATATCCTTTATCACACCTCTTCCAGATAGCTAAAACTTTTTTCAATTACCAAGTTAGACCAGCATTATTCATCTCAGATTGGGAAGCAGCAGAGAAGACAATGGAGTGCATCTGCCTGGGTTCGAACCCAGATCTATCAGTTTACCAGCTCTGTGACCTTGGAAAAGTTACTTAATTTCTTCACCTGTTATAGCAGTGTTATAATAAGTTAATATATGTAAAATGCTTAAAAGAGCCCTGAGAACGTAATTCTAATAAGTGACTACTATTATTAAGATGGCACTGATTCAATAAACCTCTCCTTCAATGACCCGAGGCAAAATTTGCTGAAAATATTATTTTTAAAATGTCAGATCTTCATAGAAATGCCCCACAGATCATAATCAAATATATGATCATCAAAACAAATTAAAATTTTATTAAAGTATTTGAAAATTCTAAAAATAAGTTGCTTAAACAACTGTGCTTCACGTAACTGGCAATTTATCCTTTTATGAGCTAAACAAGTTTACTTTATATTAGACTAAAAATAAAAAACCATTAAAACAGTTGACTATCTTCCTTTTTCACACATTAAAAATAGTTAAAGGAAGTTGAGGCTTTCCTATAAAGGTAAAATATTTACCTCAGGATTTGTTCCCTGTGACATGAATTTTAGCTAGGCAATGAAAAATCTTTTTCATATTTTCAGGTTCTCAATTAGAAGACCCAAAAGAGACTCCTTAATAGCTGGGTTGCGTACCCATCATAAACCACTACTTTCTAAGATGGGATACTCTGCCCCCTATACCACTCAAAATAGGTGCCCAAACTAGCTAAAATAACATTTTGCAATGGGAATTACAAAAAATACTGTTTCCAAGAGATGAATGTTAATATTTACTACAAGCGAACCTCTTTCCATTCTTTCAAGATACGAAGTATGATGATGCGGCCTCTTTCAGAAAACAACAACAAAACCTGTGCTAAATCTTTCCTTTTCAGCAATTTTTACTTGTGGTTTCACCAAAAGGTTGCATTGATAGTGCAGCTCTAATTATTCCCAATTTTCTTCATAGTATATCCAGTGGGGCTGAAGAAAATTGAAACTGTTTACTCATCCAGAAATTCTGTTTGGATTTTCCCCTGATTCTCCCACCCTCTTAACCCCTGAGGAGAGTGCCCCTGGTTTGAGAGCCACTGCTCAAGGATGACCCATCTTGCTGCTGCTCACCAGTCAGCCTTCTGGCCCCAAGCGTAATCTCGGTCTTATTTAACCTGTATCCCAAAGGTAAGGATTTGGAGGTTTACAATTTGGCCAATACTTAAAAATGCTATTCAAGCCTAAGAGTATATTACTTATTCGAATAACTTATGCCATTTCTGCAACAAAAACAATACTGGTATCCTTTGTTACCAATACTATAATTTACCCAACTTCCCTATTTACTTTAATCTGACATTTACATTTTTGCATTATTTTTTGTAGTTCTAACTACATTCCAATTTATGTACATTTCATTCACTGTTTTTATATGAACATTCTAAAAAATTTTATCATACTCTAAAGCCAAATACCACAGCTTAGGAGTTAATAATCAAAAGGCAGCATTTAAAAATTTCAAGTCTGATTTCAAATTAAAATTTCCATTTAGTATTAATGTCGTACCAAAATAAAACACCTAGAATGAGTGGTTCCTTTGAAGTACTTTCAAGAAAAGAAGAACCAAAGCCAAAAGTTGCTTACTTGATTGTCTGCAGAAACCTCACTCTGTCATTGATCTCATCTGGGATCTTACTGAGAATTTGCTTAAGTGCTCGTGCCTTTTCATTTAGGTCCTGGAATTCTGGCTCTGGTCGTTCAATCATATACTCTGATAAAATAAATACATAAAAAAAACCATCATGCAACTCTCTGCCAAATTCAGGTCTACGAATTCCGAATGTTGGTTAAAGAGGTGGAGGAAAAAGAGACAGGGAAAGGAAAGGAAAGACAAGGTTGCAAGGCAGAATTCATTAAAGTTCAACTTAGTTCAGAAATAATATTATGGCTCTTCCCAAGTAAAGGATCAAAAGATGAAAGACTAAACATTTTCAATTTGGGATAAATGGAAATTCAGTGAAATCTTAAACAAACAAACAAATAAATAAAAGACAGGCTCAATCAAATTTACCAGGCCTCTGAAGCTGTATTTCATAAGGAAACCTTAACGTAATGACATTCATAACAAATATAATGACAATATGTATCTGTCAAGGGGGAAGAAGAGCTTAATAACCAACATCTATATTGAATATGTAATGAGTTCATGATATCAAAACCCAAACAACCTACTAATATCTTCAGCACATTCTTGAAATCTCACTTAAAAACACACAATAATTTATATAGATGTCTGCCCCATTATCATCACAATAATAACAATAACAGTAAGAAAAGGGAGGGGCAGAAGACCCATCTGTCAAATAAAGACTTGGAGGAAGTGCTTTTCAACAACTGTAAGAAAATTAAATAAGACTGACTACCTTCTACATCATCAGCTGCCATTCGAAGAAGGGACTCTGTGAAGTTAACTTCTACACTTTTTTTCTCTAAAATTTTCATAATGATGTCTTGTGTAAGTCCTGGATTTTCTTTTTCAGCCTATAAAAAAGAGAAAGCTATTTTTAAAATACAGAAGCTTAATCAGCATTTTAAAGTCAAAACTTAATTGTTTAGAACCTGCTGGGAACCTCTTAGAGTAATCAACTTATGACAGCAGAAATATTTATAAAGTAGGTGTGGTGATAGCATTCACTTATGTTTTGTCAGAGCTTATGCATCGGTGACTTATTACAGCCATGGTCCCATTTGCCATTTGAACATAAAGTACTTAACATTTCCTATTTCTCCTCTACATTCACTTGCAATCAAACCAGTAACAAAAATAGAAATAAAGATTTTTATATATTTTGGTAATCCATCAATTACTCTGTTCAGTAGTTTAAATATACTAAGGACTTTTAGCTTTTTTTCATTAGCTAATATTTCAACTTGAGGATCAAGCTGTAATTCATCTTACCAGTACTTTGCAGATTCTTTTAAATGAACAGAATGTCAAGAAAAACAAAAATGAAACAAAAAGACAGGATTTCTTTTGCAGGTTTTATTTAAGCCATATAATCCTTTACTTTTCCATGTAATAATTTTCATTTCCTATTTTATTTCTGTAGCAAGAATATTTCCTTTTGTAGCAAGAATATTTGTAGCAAGAATAATTTACAGAACATCATTTAATCCTTTTGCTACCTCCTGAGCTTGTTTCACTGATGAGTTTGCATTACTTCTACGTTACTTACACTCACTAGGACACTAAAATCTTCTAGCCATCTCAAGACTGAACACAGAAGGGCACCTGGGTGGCTCCAGATGGTTAAGCGTCTGCCTTCAGCTCAGGTCATGATCCCAGCGTCCTGGGATCAAGCCCCGCATCGGGCTCCCTGCTCAGCTGGAAGCCTGCTTCTCCCTCTCTTACTCCCCCTGCTTGTGTTCCCTCTCTCTCTGTCTCTATGTCAAATAAATAAAATTAAAAAAAAAAAAAAATCTTAAAAAAAAAAAAAAGACTGAACACAGAAAGTTATGAGTTTATCATAGTTAATTTTCAGATTTGGGTTTTCCCCAGTAATTCTGTCCCATTTTATTATTTTTAAAAATTTTGTATTGACACTCTAAGTTTGTTTCTTTTAGGATGCCTGCCAGTTTTAATCATTATGCTGATGATTTCCTATCTTTTTTGCCCAATATTAAACAGCAAATAGAAACACAATTTATGATCCTAATCAGACAGCAATCTATTTGCTTCCATATGTGTCAAGCACATTTAACCTCTGCCTTTTCAATTCCATTCTGGTATCACTGCAGATCCAGTTTCTTCCTGTTCCTACTGCTCTGTCCATTAAAGTATCTTGTTTCTCATTAGGCTTCAAGTATCAGAAACTGAAAGGTTTCGGAATGGAATGGGAAAAGAAAATATTCACGTTTATCTCAATCCTGGGATCATTTTAACTGCTGTCATATGCTATTCAAGGAAATCATTTTGATAGATGATTAATAACAATAAAGTGTATCCTACTGAATTCCATTTCCTTTATAACCTGTTTTGATTTTTCCTTCCATGAATATATTTAAGATAGAATCTGTTTTTAAAAAACAAGGGTTACCTTTAAAGGAAAAGTTGTACAAACATGGGCTAAGATGGTGTCAACATTATTAATTTGGTGACCTGCCACAAAACTATATACACTATTTAGATAAGTCAGCATTTGATAAAGTGGTTTATCTTCTTTCTCTAAGTAGCATTAAATTACCTATATAATGCATCATCTTACGAGGCAGGGGAGTACTCTCCATGTGCTTACAGAATATGCCAGCAGAACAATAATCTCTCTCTGATTAAGTTATAATAAACTGCCACAGTCATTAAATGCTGAAAGCCTGAGAATAAAGTTTTCAACACCAAGTTGTGTGGAGCCCCAAACTGCCAAAACCAGAGCATTCTAGAAATCTTACAGAGGTCTCTAACTTTCTCAGTTCACAAGTGTTCTTAGGGCTAAGAAAATAGTGGCTATGTAGTAGTTAGGTTCAAATAACCTCGTAAGTACTCGTGTCCTAACTCTTAAGAACCTAGGGGTTCTAAAAATACACAAATTGAAAGAAAAACATTTTATTTCATTCTTAAATAACCATGATTACTTATTAATGAGATGCATTCACCTGTTGGGCACTACACAATTTCTCAAATGTTGGAATTAGACTGGATCCTACAATCCTCATTTCCTATTGGGACACTGATTTTCTTGTAGTACTTACTTTTTATCACAGAAATGGCCAAAATTCCAACTTTACAAAAATATGACATCACTGCAAGGAATGTAGCCCGATCTAGTATGTTGAAATTGCAAACTACCTCAAGCTAGCATAGTTCACACAGTGTCAGATGTTTAGTATCACTGTGTTCCTTTAAAGTTTTAAAATAACTCATAGCACTCTTCTGAGTTTGCTGTGGGGCCCCAGGGTGCCTCAGTACCTAGCTCAGGAACAACCGTCTTAGTATCTTCTGGCTGAAATCCTTAAGCTACTTACTTTTCATTTTAAAAGCCTGAAATTTACCCAATGTCTCTGACTGACAAAATAAATAGATCTGTGCTTAAATCGGAGACTTTTAACTACCTATACCTTCAGGTTTTCTCCCAGAATTACAACCTTGAATTCTGTGGGGATCCAATTTTTATGAAGAATCCCACTATGAAAGAAAACTATCCCCAAAGGCAGTAACATCCACTCTCATGATTCAGTGATTCTCAACAGCACAACCTATCAGAACTTTCCACAGGAGAAAAGAATCAAAGAGAATAGACATCTTAAAAGATAATATTCATTAGTATTTTATCTTGGGGAAAACAATTTTAATCCCTTTTCTCGTGATAATAAAAATATCAAACCTTGATAAATGACACTTGTGGTCAAATAACTGGAAATATGGACATATATTTTGGGAATATTAATAGGGATATATGGGTGGGTGAGGCATTTATTTTTTTATTTTTTGAGAACGAGAGAAAGTACGGGGAGGGGGGGAGAAGCAGAGGGAGAGGGAGAAGAAGACTCCCCACTGAGCAGGGAGCCCCATGCAAGGCTCGATCCCAGGACCCCGGGATCATGACCTGAGCCAAAGGCAGATGCTTAACCGACTGGGCCACCCAGGCGCTCCTGGGTGAGACTCTTAAATTTTTCAAATAAGTTGTAGTTTTAAAAACACAAAAATCTTCATCTTCTTAATGCATACCCTTTTAATTACATTTGAAATTTAACAAATTAAATATGATAATAAAAATCAATCAATGCAAAACTGACTAATTTATTTTCCTCTCAAATAACTTCCACTTTGCCCAATTAACAATGAGTGCCATGGATAATAAAATTTATCCATATGTTAAACCAGATCTATCAAAGCACATACTTTAAACATACTATTTGCTTTTAAAATGTACTTTAGTGTTAAAACATCAGATTATATGTAAGGATATTTGTAAGAAAAAGCTTAATGAAATTTGTTATTTTATCTCTTTTAGAAATGACATTGAAGATACCATCTACTACTTCAGACAGAGTCCTCCTTATGACGATCCACAGGAGAAATTTCTCTCTGTTCTTGCTATCAGAAAAGCTAAAAAACTGACTTTTCCTTATCAATACTATATTGTGCAATAGGTCGCCTTTCCTTCCTTTCTTTGGCCACAAAGAAAATAGCAAGTCAGTTTAAAACAGTTTCCATCATGCCTCCCTAATAACCAAATATGCCATTCCAGAGCCACACTGAAGCTCAAAGAAAAAAGAAAAAAAAAAAAAAATTGATGATATTGCTTCATTCCTTCTCTTCATTAACCCACTGATTTGTCAGAACATATTTTAATTAAGCTACTATGTATGAATACACAAGCACTGCATTTTAGAGTATTAATAACATCAAAATAGCTCTAATATAATATATACAATGTAAATTCTTGTGATGAAGAGAGATGTCTAGTGACAGTATCTATCCTAGCAGTTAAGAGTGGTATCAATAAACAATCTTTGCCATAAAAAGAACTTAAGCTTGATGGATTTATAGTTCTAATCCAATAAAACTTAACTATAAATTTATTCTAGATTTAAACATTAAAATACCTGAAATAGAAGTTATTTTAGATATTAATGGGAACAAACACACAATAAGTAAATAATATTGAAGTTTTGGGTACCCTGATATGTACTGGGAAAGGAAGGGGGATGGATAAAGTTTTACATGAAAGAATACACCTAATATATAGAATAGGACTGTCTAATAGAAATATAACGTAAGCAACAAATATCATTCATTGTAATTTTAAATTTTCTAATGGCCATGTTACAAAATAAGAAATAAGTGAAATCATTTTAAAAGTACATCCAAAATATTATCATTTCAACATATAATTAATATAAAATACTTATTACTGAGTTATTTTACATTCTTTTTCTTATACTAAGTATTCAAAATCTGGTGTGTATTTTACACTTGGAGTACAACTCAATTTGAACTAGCAACATGTGGCTAGTATTTATCAAACAGTGCAGGTCTAGAGACAACAAAAAAGTTCACTCTGACAGAGTGACTTAGATGTATGTTTGTAAGGTACCCTTAATCTGACCCACACACAGGTCTTGTTTTCCCATCAAAAATACTGTTTTATACTTATGTTCTATAATTAAGCAATATGAAGAACATCTTTTTGAGTTATAACTTTACAAAAATTTTTATCAAGTCAAATAACAGAAAAATAAATTAAAAAATATACTCTAAAGCTAAAGAGAAAAGACTCCAAAGAAGTCAGTTTCCAAAACAAAGTATGACAAAAAGATGATTGCTAAGGAAACAGCATTTGTTTCAATTCACTTTTGGGAAAGGTTTTAAGCTTTACAGAGTACACTAAAACAGACGTGAGACAGCTGAAGAGGTTTTCACTAAAAGGAAATAAAGTGGCAATTATCACATGGTATTCAGATTTACATACAACATACATTTTAATCATCATAACAAATTATTTGCACCTCACCTTAATGAAAGCTGCTCTCAGTGTCTGAGCTGCTGACAGGTTTACTCGTTCTAGCTGCAATATAAATTTTAAATCACTATTAATATCAATTTCCTCAGAAAAAGCACATTTCTGATATTCCATTCTACAGTAATAACACTGATAAATCCATCATTTGATCAACAAATGACTGTGACCTTTAGGAAACAAATCCAGTATGTGTAGAATGAGGGTAAACTTTTGTACTTAGATAGTTAAATACATCTTTCTAAAACAAGGGATAGTAACCTGGCTTCAGATTTTTAGCCTCATCACTACTGGTCAAGATGGGAACAAACACAAGATGGGAACAAGTTCAGGAAAGCTCTTCAGATACACTTGCTATTTATTCTAAATTACCTTAATTCTTGAAATACACAGGTCATCTAAAATTTTCATTAGAAACCATAAGAAATTAAAGGATGTATGAGTTCTTCATTCTTTTTCTTTTTAAAAACAAAACACACTCTACCTTAAAAGTAGATTTAAGATAAGCACAGAATGCAAAATAATATCAAGTCCCTATAGAAAGAATAAACATATTTACTTCAATTACTGAAAATAAGGTTCGAGATCAACTCTCAATGCTCTGTTGCAAGTATATGGCAAATGTGGTGTGCACTGAATAGAAAATGACCAACACCAAGAAAACATCTATTATTTAAGATTTTTTGTATTTATTACCTTACTCCTTTTTAATTATTTTACAATCCCTCAGCCAGGGATTAAGTTGAGATTAGTCTATTCTATTAATTAGCAAACAGCACTGACAAAAGGTTTGATACTAAATAAAGACTGTGGATCATCTGTCCTCTATGTTATCTAGATTAAAAAAAGGTTACCTAAAATACTGAACCAAAAGTTCAATCCCAAAGCTTTTAATTTTAATATCAAATATGTGAGGTTTACAATTTTGAAAGACACATGTCCTTATTATACACTTTACAGAATTCATTTTTCAGTGAGCAAAAAAAAAAAAAAAAAAATTCCATAAAAATAATGCCATTTGTTGAAAAGTTAACTGCTAGGCTTAAAACAACTACCTTCAGTTAAATTCCTATTTTTTTAGTCCCTAAAGATTGGGCCAATTAACTCAATAAAGCTCAATGTATATATTTTTTATTGGGGACAATATTAAATGTTCAAAAACAATGTTAACTTTTATAGGATTCTTATGCAAGTGGAATCTTTTTACAAAAATCTTAGGAACATATCATATCTTGCAATAAATATTCCTTTCAATCCCTCGAGGAAATAAATGTAAGTTTTCCTTTATAAACAACATATATACACATACACATATCTAAGGAATGGCCTACACTTTATTAAATCAATTTATTTTCTAAACAAGACAGAAATGCCAAGAACCTTATCTCCCTACAAGTTACGCACCTTCAGCAAAAAAGCAACAAAATGTGCCAAGATAAACACTTTATCTCCAAAAATAAATAAAAGGCCATTTAACTCAGTTTTTTACTTGGCTTCTACAAATCCAGTAAAATCTAACATTGCCTTAGTAGATAAAAGGGAAAACACAAGAGGACAAGGTAGGCAAATACAGCAAAAAAGCAACTATGTAAGTTTATAAAATTAATGAAAATATGCTGCCACAAATGAAAAATTCTCTTCTTCCATGGAATTCATTTAATTGTAATGAATCCTATTTAAGATTAAAATAATAATACAGCTCTTCTGATCTCAAGTTCTTGTTGTGTAAGGGAAGGAGAGGCAGAGAGACAGGATGAATGTTTCCAGTCTGATAGGAACCATTTCCTTATTTGGGCTTACACCACACTCCGACCTCTTTCATGAAGTCAAAGGTCTGAGTCAGATGTGTACCTTCAAGTATCTGCATCATTAACTCATTCTGTACTGCCCTGGCTGGTGTGTGAAAGGGTCAAGGCAAATAAAGGAGGCCCAGAATAGTCTGTGAAGAACTAATAAAATTAGCCAAGATAGACATCAGATTTCTAGATTAAGTTTACATATATGTGTCTTAGAAAAGAAAGGGAAAGGTCAGGCATATACTAAATCAAATCTGTGAGCTGTGAAGCACCTCAAACAGAACTCTGCAGGGAGTCATTTTGGGATACATTATATACCCACATATCTTGCAGTAAACCCACTAGGCTTCATTACTCATATGATATCCCCACTACCCAGGAAGTACCAGGCATACAGGCACCTATCTACTTTTTGAATTGAACTTAATCTCTCAACCATAAATTTATCTAAATTGTTCTTCAATCTACTTATAATTTGCAGCCTGTAATACTTAGCAAGATATGTTTTTATCTTCCCTAATAAAAAGTGCTTCCCCTTTAGATCTTTCATTTGTGATAGATGATTTGATGATAAAATCACGTTCACCTTACCTTTCATGACAGTATAAGGTTCTGGCAGTATCCTAATAACAGTTATCATTTACTTAGCACCTATAATGAATTTTGTTATGTATTTTCATAGAGAGTATCTCATCCTCACAATCTGTAACTAGCTATCATCATCTCTATTTTACAGAGGCAGAAATTCAGTTTGCATAAATTTATCCAATATTCAAGAGCTAGTGCATACAGAGGCAGGATTCATAACAAATCTGTCTGCCTCTAAAACCTGTGCACAAGCCACTTAATGCTACCCTGCCTCCCTGAATTCACCCTTCCCACACTGGCATCCACTCTCTCACTGAATCTCTTCAACTACTGAAGAACTAACAAATGCCTGAGTTTCTCCCATGTGTAAGAAAGTCAGTGTGAGAGATAAAAGAAATAGATTATAGTCCTGGAACCCCAAAAGATCAATTTAAGTAAGCAGCTACATGGAAACTAATGGGATCACTGTCAACTGAAGTAGAAAAAAAAAAAGTCTTTATGGCGGTGAAAGCTGAACTGGTCCCTGAAGAACACAGACTCTTAAAATCACCTTCCTGGTGGGGCACCTGGGTGGCTCAGTTATTAAGCGTCTGCCTTCGGCTCAGGTCATGATCCCGGGGTCCTGGGATCGAGCCCCGCATTGGGCTCCCTGCTCAGCGGGAAGCCTGCTTCTCCCTCTCCCACTCCCCCTGCTTGTGTTCCCTCTCTCGCTGTGTCTCTCTCTGTCAAATAAATAAAATCTTTAAATAAAAATAAAATAAAATCACCTTCCTGGGCCATTTGCAAACTTACGGGTTTCTTCAGGGGTAACACATGTGGGAGTAAAGTTTTTATGTAAGTTTAGAACAGACAAGAATTTCCATTTTGTTTCCAATACTTCCACTAATTAGTCCAGTAATTTTTTTCAGCTTTTGAGGTAACAGTTGTTGGCCAGGTTATCTTTAAAGAGACAATTCAATCATTTCTTAGTAGTAATTGATTCTGAATTCAGAGGAGGAGGAGGGAACATATGATTACGCCTTGCATTAATGGATATCTGGACAAGGAGAGGCTTTCCTCGGGCCTCAGCCATCTAGGAATTCCATGTCACCAGTAAAAGAGTAAAGGGCAAAAAGAGAATAAGCACAAGAGAACAGGGCACCTAATCTCATTTCACCAAAAAGGTAAAGAAAGTACCTCCTGAAGTCCCAGCTAGAAGGAAATAATAGGCTGGGGTGGACCTAACAGCAGGGCTCTCACCCCAACCTCACGTTCTGCCTACTCTGTTTTGTGAGCTCCTCCTGTAATTTATTCTTGATAGCTTCTGAGAGCACTATTAACTACCAACTTGTCAAATTTAACTCTCTAGAATGTTTATAAAAATATTTCAAAAGCTTACACATAATTGTGATTCCATAGAGAGTGCATTTATTGCATTGGTCCCTCCATTTATTGCACTGGTCCCTCCCTCCAAAGGTATCAGCTCATTCCTATACTTTATTTTCTAGTTATCAAGCCTGTCTCTTACACCCATAAAAAAAAAAAAAAAAAAAAAAAAAAAATCCATTTAACTCTTTGGTTACTCAAGTTTTATAGGTCTTGCATAAAATCTTTTGAAAGTATTTTCTTTTTTTAAGGTCAAAATAATTAGGTTAGTTGGTTCTGAATTATCTACTAATTTGGCTTCCTCAAAATCAGGCATGATTTCTCCATGCTAACAACCTTCTCCCCTCCCCACAAACACTATTAATCCTATTCTTTAAAAGGAATCATACATGGCCAAGACACAAGGAAAAGGGGTGCCTGGGTGGCTCAGCTGGTTAAGCATCCAACTTGATTTTGGCTCAGGTCATGATCTCAGGGTCCTGGGATGGAGCCCCTAGCAGAGATGGGCTCCCCACTGAGCAGGGAGTCTACTTGTCCCTCTCTCTCTGACCTTCCCCCGCTCATGTGCGCACTCTCTTCCACTCTCTTTTAAATAAATAGATAAATCTTAACAAAAAAAGACACAAGAATAAAAGGTACATCTCTTATGACTCAAATGAAAATGAGGCAAGTCAGATAAAAAAAGCTAGAACATAAGTAGACAGACTCAAGAGGCCACCTATCAACTTTTGTGCTGCCATAAGAAGAGAGATGCAGTCATGTGTTTTATACATAGTAAATGTTTCCAAAATAATCCGTTTCTGGGGTTGCCAAGTTTTCCAGCAAAAAATGTAAGCAGAGCCACCTATCACAAATATGTTTCATTAAAAATTGCTTACTAGAATGTAAAACTCTAGGGAATGCTCACAATTTTATCCAGAAAATTGCACAAAGACTTCTGAATAACAGCTCTAACACTTAACTACATGCCTGGTACTATTCTCGGTACTACAATATATTAAGTCATTTATTTTACAGAGTTATGAGAAATAAGTATATTACTGTTTATCATCAGTTTATAAACAAGGTCAGAAAGATAAGACTACATAGCCTAGAGTAAGGGGCAGAGCAGTAATTCTTATGCAAGATATTAACTACGATCACCTCTGGATGGAGGGACTGCAGGTAAAACCCATGCCTTCACTATGGAGAAGTATGTTTACTATGCTCCAATTCTGGGGTTTGATTTTTTTCTTTCAATTAAAAAAAAAGGATGGTTAGGTATGTGAAGTTGGAGAAGTATTCACAGATTTCATTTGCTTATTGGAAAAAATTAAGAGTTGCATATTCTGCTGAGTTGGCTGAAATAACTGTGTTGGATGCTTCTGAATATAATATTAATTACTTATTCAGAAGTACCATTTTTGTGTGATTTATAAACAAGCATATAAACCCTTGGTGATCTAAAATTCTTAGTTGTTTGCGAAACTGTTTATTCCTATCTCAAAACACAATACATATTTCTTCAGAAATTATACTTCACCTTAAAATAATTCCTCTAAAAAGTCACAGGAAACGATGATTCATGATGTATCTTTCCCTGGAATGAAGAATTGAACTACACCTCTCTCCTCCATACACAAAGATCAGTAGAAAGTAATACAGTACATGAGAACTGACCTAAGACTTGTCATGACACTTCTATAAACTCACTATTTCATAAGGTAACCAGGAGACCTATTTCACAGTACATTTACAACACATGCAATATACTTGGACTCTGAACTCTGCAGCAGCTGATTAAATAAGAAACCTACTCCTTTCTCAGCTGTCTTGGCATAGCTTCATTAAGTTTAGCAAACATCAAACTCCCAGAATGCCATAAATAACTTTGCTTTGTGAGCTGGAGTAACAGTACTAAAATTTCCCAGATATAAGGATGCCCTACTATCTAAAAATCTGTTCTACAAGAAGACTTCCAGACTACCATTGTTACTACTATGAATGTTATGGTAAGGTGAGAATGGGTACGTTTTTTTAACTCTTCCAATACACTGTGGACAAAATTAAGTGTATCATTTAGCTCCAGAGTTAAACATTCATCCCTACTCTGGTACTACTTTCTGTAAGATTAATTTGACAATCATTTTATCTTTAAATCCGTATAGCACAGAAAAACAGAGCCAAACTAAATTCTAACTTCCCCATTAGTAGATCTGTAGAAAAATCTATGTTTGAACTATAGTTAAATCTAATGTTTAACTGACTAGGTATCTTATTTTAGATGTTACATTAATACACTGGAATGTCAGACAACAATGCTAGTATTTTATTCTTCTCAACCACACACTTCACATTTGAAGGCACAATTATTTTATTCCATTCCTAAATCAAGCCCCAGATTTCATATCTCTATCAAAAAGGAGACCTACTACCACTATTCCTAAAAGCCTGTTATTTCTGAACACTTGTTTTTGTAACGTGACAAAAATAATTTTTATAAAAAGCTTGATACCATGATGTTAGATCATAAATTTGAGAGCTAGACCCTGACAATTTGACACAGTATCTCTCAGTCTGCTACATCTAGCCATTTCATTTTCAAATTCAGTTCTAGCAATTCTTGAACCAACTATGAAACATTTGGCAACACGTTCTAATTCCAGGCCCATTAACCCACATATTTTTTAGATGTCATCTGGCAAGAATCATTGCCTTTATTTCTGGAAGAGATTTACCAGTCCATTCATAGCCTTTTTTCTTTCAAATTAATTTTTCTTACACATGAATAAATTAGAAAAGATATCTCAGTATTAATCCCAACAGTTCATTTTATCAGAATCTCATATCCTATATAACTATTTTCCAAAGCTAAGATTCAAATAAAATCCATTTTCCTTATGTAGGAAAAGATCACTCTAGTTGTTAGAAAAAAAACTTCTCTCACTCCTCTTCACTAACTAGAGGATCAAACAGCTCTGCAATGTAAATTGCCCTTCCTTCAAGTAAAGACTCAAAATACTAGATAAATACAGAAATGCCCCATACAACTTGGCCCAAAAGTCCACAGGGGTGGCTAGCTATACAGACCCAAGAAGAGGGAGCACTTCTGGGTAGAACTGCCATAATGGTTCTCGAAGTACCTGAGAAGTTAAAACACTAAACATCAACATACATTACTTAATAGTTTCAGTGACTGTCTTCTTACCTCATACCTGGTACAAGGATAATTAAATAATGTATTTGCTTAAACATCTGTTTAAGATGTTTAAGAAAATAGTTCCCTATGGTTCTTAAGAAGAGGTATAATGCCTTTTTCTTTTTCACATCCTCGGACCCTAGCAGACTACTCAGCAAATAAATGGCTGACATTTAGTAAATATTTACTAAACAGAACTTAAGCACTTGCTTCTAACAGTAACTGTAGTCTTGTAATGAATGGGTACGTATTAGAACAAAATGGTGGAACTAATTACTGGGGTGTTGGCTATACCTGCCAGAGATGGGTATTACCAGCCCTAAAAGAGTGCCTCCAATGCTTCCACAGTATTAGTATAACAGGGACAGGTTTTTCAAAAGATGCCTCCTATTGCTTCCTCTTTAGTAACAAAACTTCTAAATTTCCCAACCTCCTTTGCAGGTAGGTGTAGTCATAAGACTAAGTTCTTGCCAATGAGATGTAAATGGAAGTCTTGTATAGGACTTTCAAAAACGTTACTTAAAGGAAGCTTAATTGGCTGGAAGTAACACCCCCAACTCTATTCCATTTTTTTGTGCCTTCCAGACAACAACTTAGGACATAATGAATGGAGATTCAGCAGCTACCCCACATGCTGAGGTGACCTTGATAACGCAAAGTAAGCACTAGGATACCGAGTCATAATAACACTAGCACTGGACCACTTATCGCTATAATTTTTATGCAAGAGAAATAACTTTTATCCAAGCAACTGCTTTTTTCTTTTATGATCACCAAACCTAATAACACTATTTGACAGATAGCATTTAGAATTTCAAAATGTATGTCTGAAATGGCAACTAGGTCTGTGATTTCCAAGTTGAAGAGGATGAATCACTCTCTATTGTCCCCAAGACTTAAGACCACAAATGCATCAAATACATTATTATTAAACCTAATAATGTGGGAGAAAGGGTTTTGTAATCCAGAATCTTACTCTAATATAAATACTTTACAAAAAGGAATAAACAGTCACTGGAAATGGTGAGGGTTTCCAAGTTACAGCAGCAACAATAAGGTCAATGGTGTTGACAGCTTTATAATTAGCAAAACAAAAACAGAAAGACCCTAATTAAATATACAGAAAGGCTAAGGCTGAAGCCACTGAATTTGGAATCCTAGATTTTAGTTCTAGGTAATTTTATGAACACCATTTCACATATTAGGAACTCAATTCACTATTAAAAGGAGGGGCATGATTAAATTATTTCTAAGGAATTTCCAGCTCTAATTCTCTAAATTAAAAGAAAAACCGAAAATGTATTAAGTCCTAGAAAATTCCTCAAATAAAAAAGCAACTACATCTTCTCTAGATACTAAAGCAATAGTAGCTTCCATTTATCAGTAAAAATATGTTTTGTCTCTACTGACTAGAATTCATCAGGATATTTTTGTGCCTGCTCTTCTGGCTACCTAAAATGTGCTTATCCTGAACTCAACTGTCAAACCCTTACTTACCTCTTTTCGATCTTAGCATTTATGTCTCATCTTGAATGAGGCTGGTCCTGAACCCTAAAGCAGATCCCACCTGCTATTTTATTGAACATACAATTTTTCATGACTTCATAGCACTTACCACAACTTTCTATTTATATAATTACTTGCATTCTTTTATTCAATGTCTGTCTCTCCCCCTATAATGAAACCTCCAGATGGGAAGCAATATATGCAGGTTCCCCCTCCCTACTGTTTTATGTCCAGTCCTGGTACAATGCCTAACACACAGATGAAATTCATCTATGTATTTGTTATATGAAGGAACAAACAAATGAATAAATGACGCAGGCATCAAGAATTGAAGAGATCATATGAGAAATGTTTACCTACTTACCTCATTAAACACAGGATACATGACTGCATAGAGGGGCATAGAAACCATGGAAGTGGTCTCAGCTTCATTCTTCATCTCTTCCATTGTCATCCTCATTCAAAAGCCAACTACAGTAGAAAAAGCAGTGCTAAAATGCAGAGGAATCTTCATTCACTGCAGTATTTCTTTTCTCTTTTGTGATAAAAGAACAGGGCACAAAATATATACTGACCTGGTTAAAAGGAAAGAAAGAACAGAGATTTCCTCTATTAAGGGAAAACTACAAACACCAATAACTTTCTTTTCCAGTGTCTCTATCTTATGAACAGCTGATTTGTTAATGTATCTTACTTGTGAAGGTACCCCTGATCAGTAAGACATCTCTTTTCCTCCTCAGACTCAGGAATTTGCCCTTTCTTACAACTAATTTTCCCTCATTAACGAAGCTGTGATTCAAAAATCCACTCATCTTAGAGAGAGTGCTCCCTGAAGCACCATGGAATAATGATGCATCTAATTCTATCATATATACAATCAAAAAAGTTAATACAAGAAATTATCAACAAAGTGTATAATTATGACACTTATACATAACATAAAACTATAACTGTGAAATACATAAAGCATAAATGTTAACGGAGAACTGCATTAAGAATTAAGAAAAAAGGGGTGCCTGGGTAGCTCAGTTGTTAAGCGTCTGCCTTCGGCTCAGGTCATGATCCCAGGGTCCTGGGATCCAGCCCCGCATCAGGCTCCCTGCTCAGCGGGAAGCCTGCTTCTCCCTCTCCCACTCCCCCTGCTTGTGTTCCTGCTCTCGCCGTGTCTGTCTCTGTCAAATAAATAAATAAAATCTTACAAAAAAAAAAAAAAATTAAGAAAAAAGGTGTTTAGATTAAAATCTTTTTGCTAATAGTTCATTGATTTTGCCACCAAAAAATAACAACAAAAGCATAGCCAAGCACCAAAGATTTAAGACAAATCTTAAAACTGGGAAAATTCTATAAATTTGTCTATTTGGGGGAAAAAATGTTATTTAATTTTGCCAGTGGTATTTCTGAATCTTTGTCCAAACCTGGCACAAAACCTAAGTAGAGAGATCCACAGACACTGATAGTTTGACAATATACTGAGAATTCAACAATATAAGAAAGAAATTTTGCCTTGAATAGTTGAGGAAGTATGTTGGTTTTTAAAAGAAAGCCACTGTATTTATTTCCTTTGCTAGGCTAAAAAATGAGCCTAATTATAAAGTAAGAGAGTAATATTAGGGACATATCTATATTTTAAACAATGTATATTGGTATATATATTTCAAAACCATCAATTTTGAATAATTTCTATCATTTATAAAGCATTTTCAGATTATAAAACATTTTTCACACACTTTTAGTCCTCACAATTACTTTACATTAACTGTCATTCTAATCTTATTTCAGGTTCTGAGATGATAAATGATTTGACCAAGAACACACATGCAGAGGCCCAAGACTTGATCCTAATACTCTCAATCCAGATCTAATAATTCCACAAAAAAAAAAAAAACAAAAAAAACTAAGTTTGAAGTAGAGACAAAGAATCTCAGCTCATCTACCCAAGAAAATACCCAGAAGTTATTCATTCACTGAATAAATGTAGGCTTAGCACCTACTCTGTAAAAGATGCAGTGGGGGGGGGGGGTGATTAAGATGTGGTCCTAATCATTAAATCTTATCTGGGCCAGACTGTGGAAGACCTAAGCAGTTTGAAAGATACAATCAAAGGTCTGAGTATGCAGAACTTCAAAAAGCTCTAATAACTTATCCCATCTGAGAACTGCTTACTATCCTTCCATAATCCCTACCAGTGAAAGGGAACTTGACACCTACAGAAACAGGCTAGTCCCATTTCTGGTAGTTCTAAATATGGAAAGTTTTTCGTTTTGGGGCTACAAGCTGCTCACTGACCTCACAGAACCAAATCAATAAATAAAAATAAGAAGGCCAATTCCTAAGTCTTATTCTATAGGGTAACAGAAAGCCATTACCTGATCAGATCATTTATTTAAGCGGATTGCTTTGGTCATACTGTTAAGGATAGAATGGAGGAACATAACCTGATGGCAGGGGAAACTTAAGAGACCTAGTATAGTTATATAAAAGACCAACCAGACCTGAGCAAGTAGCAAGAGGAAGAAGGTAAATAATCAATTGTGACCCTGCTGTTTCTAATTAACTACTTAACTGGCCATTCGGTAATCTTCTTTTCCACTTTAGAAATAAATTGTGAATACTTTTTCATATTAAACTTGGAACAAAAAAGAGGGGCTGAAATGCAGGGATAGTAGTCAAAATGAAAATGATGGATACTGGAAGCATGGTATAGACAGTAATTGAAGGCATCAGTATCAATGGGAAAAAAAAAAAAAAAAACAAGCAAGAAATAGCAGAACAGGGTCAACACCAGAACTTGAAGAGCCAGCTCATGGGGTAACAGAAAAAAAATCATTCGTTTATTTAACAAATATTTATCCATTACCTATACAGAATTAGGCCTAGGACTAGCTACGGAGCAGTGAACAAGACAAGACAGTCTCTGACCTCATGGAGCTTATACTATGAAAGGAAAGCCAGAAAGTGAACAATTGTCAGTATCAACAAGGGAGAAGTGCAGATGCTATACTGCTATTGGAGAACTGGGTGACAGAACCAGCATCACAGAAACCAGGTGTTTCAAAGAGAAGGTGGTCCAAAGTTTTAAATGCTCCCAAGCATGGACAGTAACTTTTAAAAAATGATTGGATTTCTTGATGCGGTCATGAATAATGCTGGAAGAGTAATGTCACTTGTATACCGGGAGCAAGAACTACCTATCTGTAGGAACTGAGACGGTGAGCTGGTGAGTGAGGTGATCTCAGTAAAAAGGAGGTGAATTCCTAAAGTAGGCTCAATTGGATTATTTTTGTCTTTTACTCTTTTGAACATGTATGTATCCCTGCATATATAAAGGCAGACAGAAGTGAAGGGATCAGTAAAAGTAGCCAGAGTCACTCAGAATTCCTGCTGGCACCTACCTATCTACCCCACTAAACCTGTTCAAATACTTAATTTTTACCTTTGTAAACAGTGGCATTGAAATTTTTTTTAATTGTGTTGAATCAATAGTATTGTGCCATGTCAGGAATTTCACTTAAGATACTTATGATCTAGGGGCGTCTGAGTGGCTCAGTCGTTAAGCGTCTGCCTTTGGCTCAGGTCATGATCCCAGGGTCCTGGGATCGAGCCCCGCATCGGGCTCCCTGCTCTGCGGGAAGCCTGCTTCTCCCTCTCCCACTCCCTCTGCTTGTGTTCCCTCTTTCACTGTGTCTCTCTCTGTCAAATAAATAAATAAAATCTTAAAAAAAAAAAAACATATTTATGATCTAAATTTAAGAAAAACCAAACATATATATGTATTTCTTGCCTCTAAGACCAACTTACAGTACTATCAGCTACTATTTGTCATCAAAAAGAAAGTATTATAGGGGTGCCTGAGTGGCTCAGTTGGTTAAGCATCTGCCTTGGGCTCAGGTCATGATCTCGGAGTCCTGGGATCAGCCCCGCATCTCTCTCTCCCTCTGCCCCTCCCCACTGCTCATTCTCTCTCTCTCTCAAATAAATAAAGTCTTTAAAAAAAAAAAAAGAATTACAGCAATATTATGAGCTAAATAGGTGTCTGTCTTACATCATACTAATCTACCTTTTAATACTGTTCCTCTGGAAAATGTTCCAAAGAACCAGGTTACAACTGAACTTCTCAGAACACACATTCACAAACTGGGGCCACTCAGTTTCATTAGTGTTTATATGAGATTAAAAATCAACAATTTCAATAAGTCTTTTTAAATACGCCAATTTTAGTTCAGGTTAAAATATGCTGTCATTCCTTCTACATGCTTCTTTATTTGAAATGGTTCAGTGGACAACCTGCAATTACTCCAAGCAACAGAGCCTGTTAACCTGAAGAGCAAGGGTCAACTGAGCTGAGCAAGAGCTTGAGTCCCTGCCCCTTTGAGAAGGTTTCTTACTTTCACCACGGGTAACGTCAGGCCCAGGGCAGCTGGGCAGCACATTACCAAAGTTTCAGCTCTCTAAGGGATACTGGTTTCTGAGGTGAGTGCTGATCATGCATACAGAGCCAACTAACAATTAGTAACTCCAAATCCCAAATCTGGAAAGGCCTTAAAAAGTCACCTCATCTACCATGTAGTACAATAGAAACCACAGTCCAAAAAATGACTTGCCATGATTATAATTGCTAAGTAATAATAAATAATAAAAATTTAATGTGGGTATAGTGGCAACACAGCAAGAGCTACTTAGTTTCCTATTTCCAATGTGTTGCGCTGGGGGAAAAGTTTTCATTTCAAAGCAAGCTTTGTTTCCTGAGAAGTTAGCATCACAACATTTTTAAAAAACCAGAACTATAGATGTCAATAACTTAGACAAAACGTATACTTTTAAGCAAATTTTTCTTCAAAAACACCCTCTGTGATATGGTAATACCTATACAAATAGAATATAAGCAATCGATTCATTTATACTTTCCCCCTTATTTCCTTCAATGTTCAAAATAGCACTAATTTCTGACATAAGATGCATAAGTATTAAATACCTTCCTGCACTTAAGACCATTATTATTTGTTTAAAGTGAGGGGAAAACAAAAATAGGTTCCTGGCCATCCCACTGCCAAAGTCTTAGTCTTTGGAGTTTCTATCCGGCCCTGAGCAAAGAACAGGAGTCTGTTCATTTAAAGAACTATACTCAGGGGCGCCTGGGTGGCTCAGTCGGTTAAGCGTCTGCCTTCGGCTCAGGTCATGATCTCAGGGTCCTGGGATCCAGCCCCGCATTGGGCCCCCTGCTCAGTGGGGAGCCTGCCTCTCCCTCTCCCTGCCACTTCCCCTGCTGTGTGTGCATGCTCTCTCTGTCAAATAAATAAAGAAAATCTAAAAAAAAAATTAATTAATTAAAAAAAATAAAGAACTATACTCAGATATATCTCAAGGGTCAGAATCAGCATTTTCTGAGAGAGCCTCATTTTAATCCAACTGGGCAGGAGATAATTCTAGAGCTAAAGTTATTTGCTCACAAATATAAGGAGTGGACAAATGAAGTCCCTGGTACTGAAATATGCAGTTCTTGGGGAGAAAAAGAAGGCTCCTAAATGGGCGCCTGGGTGGCTCAGTTGGTTGAGAGACTGCCTTCGGCTCAGGCCAT